ACCCAGGCATCAGACGGTGAGGAAAGCTGGGGCTTGACTGTTCCACAAGCTTCGCTGACTGTGCACACACCTGCCTTCTGATTTCCGACCCTTCTCGGGTCACCTCAGTGGGGCACTGTGTCATGAGCTAAGATCTAACTCTCAATCCATAAGACCTCGCTCCTGCCCGTGGGGAGATGCATACACACATCCCCAGAGGACCTAGCAGGTGGACAAGAGCCGTGCTGAGAGCCGCACAGGTGCACTGAGGGGGACTCTGCAAATAAGGGGCCTCTGAGGTTGTGGGGTCCCAGCTTGGACCTGTTCACAAGGAGGCTAAGCAGATCCCCCAGGAGGGGAACTTGGCCCATGTCTAAACAGCTGCTGGCATCTGAGAAACTGACCGTGGTGAAGGACATGGGCAGGGGTGATGCAGCCCCGGAGGAGATTTTTGATCCCTAAGGTGATGCAGACACAGGGCATAAAGAAGGAAATGAAAGCCCGCAACTTCTGCGTACATGCCAGGCCTGGAAGGAAGGAAACGAGTGTGGGCCCAGTTAGGGGTGCTCCTGCACTTGCCACTACCCTCCCTCAGAGCTCAGGCAGCCCTCTGTGGGTCCCCCAAACTACAGAACACAGCGGGGCTGAGCAATGTCACCACCCTCCAGAGCAAGCAAGTGAGCCTCAGTGGCCCAGGCTGCATGTCAAGGTACCAAGATGGCAGCCAGGAGTGACGATGGCCAGATGTCAGGGCTGACCATCAAAGGCGTGTGAGGGTCCCAGGACTTCCAGGGAGGGTGGGAGGGGAGAGAACCCAAACTGACTGAGGTTAACCGGCTGCATTAACACAGGCGAAGATAAACACACCAGCAAGACTGGGCTGTGAGCACTCTGACTCGTTCCCAAAGGCTGGGGAGAGTACGGGCATCCAATTTGCATAACACAATTTGCATAATATATACATAATTTTAGTGGGCTGACATGCAGAGAAAGGGGATCTCATGTGAGGAGAGAATTTCAAGGTCCAGGAGATTCCCAAGGACTCCCTCTTTTTTCAGCCAGCCTGGATAAAGAGTCACTTGGTGTGGCAAATTTAAAATGGCTGCCCATTCTTGGCTACTGCTCCCATGGAGGGGTGAAGTCTCATTCTTCTCCAGGTTTGGCCCCAGGCAGGAGCTAAAAGGCTTTTTCTGCCCTGACCTCAGAAGTCCCAAAACATCACTCTGCCACTTCCCATCAGCCCTCCTTTCAGAGCACCGGGCACCACCATGAACCTGGCCTGCAGACTGTCCTCAGCAGCCAGGTTTGACGGCACCTGCCAGGCGAGATCCGAGAGGGGTTTTGCTCCGTCCTCAACCCCCTCTGCAGGCACACGGGGTTGGCCTCCTGAAGCCGCTCTCCTCACTCCTACCAACAGAGCTGTTTCCAGAGCCCCTTCACTGGCCCGGGGAAGCAGCCGGCTGTCCTCTGTGCGTTCTTGGCAGTCGTAGAGACACACGCACACATTTCAGGGCCGTTTCAAACATGCCTGTTATTTTTCAGAGTGAGTTTCTCTCATCTCCAAGTAGATTCAGTGTTTTCTTCCTTTGATCATTAAAGGAACACTTTCCAAATGAAGTTCTTTTCATGCTTACACTTACAGGGCCCACAATGAGAGGAGCAGCTTCTCCCTGCCCCTCTGTCTGCCCAGCCATTCGAGCCCCCACCCACTCACCACTCACCCACCCATCCCGTAACTCCCCGTCCATCTGCCCATCCTTCCGCCCCTCCGCCCACCCACATACCCAGTTTTAACCTCTGATCCTGGAGAGCTACAGGTGTGCATGCTTCCCTGGTGGCACTCATCTGTAGTTGGGGAGAGTGACATTCACATACAGAGAGACAAATGACTACAAGCTGTTAGATACGCAGGAATTAAAAGAACCAGGAGCTGTGAGGGAGAGGTCCACGGGGCTGCTGTGGACAGACAGGTGGGGCAGTCAGCTGGCGGGGCCTTTGGTAGAATAGAAGCTGTTCCCTGCTGTATGAGAAACTTCCATGATCCTGAAACCATTCAGTACATGGCCTGTAAGACCCAAAGTCAAACTTGAGCTCATTACAGCTTCCAGAAGGCTGAGACCGCACCAGCAAGCGGGGCCTCCTCCCCCAGGCAGAGGTGCCCTCCCCAGGCTCCCCGGCCCCAGCAGGGCCTCATTTGCCCACAGTTGCATCCTGGGCTGAGCCCTCAGTGCCAGAAGTGGGGAGGGCCGGGGGAGGGGGCGGGGCGAGCTCTGCCTCCCTCCCCGGGGAAGCCGGAGTGCTGATGTGTGCAGTCGGCCCAAATCCAATCTCAGAAAGGAATGATTTTTAAAAATAATAAAAAGAAGGAAAGATCGGGCCTGCTTTCGAGCCGTTTGCATGTTCTGTTTGGGGACCTACAAGGACCCCAGGCATTTAGTTCTGTGGTGGAAACCGCTGTCCCCTGCCCCTTTCTCTGAGGTCCGTGGCTAGGTTCCAGAAGGGACGCCATCCAGAGGTCTCCAGCGCTCGGCTCACCCAGCCCATGGTGCCAGCCAGCTCTAGCAGAAGACGTCAGACTCCCGGGAGCCCTGCCCCACCTCCAGCCCTGGTCAGCACTGTCCTGTCCCTTCCCCAAGCCACCAGGGGCGGCCTGCCTCGCCCAGCATGGCTGGTGGAGTCCTCACAGCTGTGTCCCCAGCTGCCCCACACTCCAGTTCTCAGCACTGGACCACATGTGGCGCTGGGTAGTGAAAGGTGCCCTGGTGGGGACCCTTGGCCAAGACAGGGGAGGCCAGCACCTGTGAAGCACATCTGCTTCCGCGACAGGGGATTGAGGGCTCTTATGGCCCCTCCACATGGTGGAGCCCATCCGAGGGTCACCGCGGACCTCCCGCCCTCCCATTTCTGCCTCACGTGCCATTGACATCTTCCATCAGCCTCCCTGGGCTCGTGCCCTACCATTCCGTCTCCTTCCTGTTCTGCAAGCAGCAGGAGTTGAGGGCAGCAGGAGTGGAGCCCTTTGTGGATGACAGAAGGCAGACTTGGAAGGGGTGGTGCGAGGACCTGGCCCCCGTGGCGGGGGGGGGGGGCGGCAGAGTCACCACACACTGACCGAGATCCTCGCACTCACCCTTCAGGACAAAGCCCACGCCAGGGTTATTTCTCAAATGCATACACATGCGTCTTCGAATAACCAATTATAAATTGATTTTAAACCACTACTGAATTCAAAGTAGCTTCTTGTCCTTGTGAGTTTTCTCAACCAATGAGTCCTCAACACAGAAGAACCAGCACGTGAAGAGGGTTTGACATTGACACGCAGACCACAGGCTCGAAAAGGGACACTGTGATTCCTTGTGGTTGTTTTTCCTTTTTGCCGCTGAGCCCAGGGGGGCTCTGCCACTGAGCTGCATCCCCAGCCCTTTCCATTTTTGAGACAGGGTCTCACTGAACTGCTTAGGTGAGCCTCGAACTTGCGACCCTCCTGCCTCAGCCTCCCAGATCACCGGGATTACAGGCTGCATCGCCACTCCCAGCTCACGTTCTTCCTTTTTGATGGAGGGAATGCATTTCAGAGGGGTCCAGAACCTTGGCCAAAGTCGCTCAGCTTGAGGTGGCAGCAGAGCCTTGTTGAGGGTACCGTCCCGTGGCGGGGCACAGAGTGGGCAGTGGCCATCACTGCTGTCACAGTGCCCTCCTGCCCTGGGCACTCTCCATTTGCACCTAACGCGTGCCAACCCTGGGAATCGCCACCCACCCTCAGAGTCGGGCAGCAGTGTGGTCTAGGGGTCTGGCCTCAGATGAGAAGTCACCGCCCTCGGCACACAGCCTTGCCCTGGGCTCCCACAGCAACCAGGACTTTTCCTACAGCAGCCCGCCCCTCTGGATCCCCTCACCTGAGCCTGCGTCCTGCACCGAGGGGAAGGCAAAGAGGGTCAGAACCAGAGGGACGTTCACTGTACCCACTTGTGCTTCTCAGGGTTGTCAGTCAGCATGCCCTTGGGAGGATGGGGACAAGGAAGGTGGACTGATGGACATGGAGGGAGGGAGGGAGGAGGGAGATGGACGATGGATGGACAGATAGATTAACTCTGCTTGGGATGCTCCCTGGAACAGCAGAGACCCTTAGAGGGTCAAGAAGACAGGTCCAAGCCAGGTGCTGTGGCCCACACCTGTAATCCCAGGGGCACAGGAGGCTGACAAGGGAGGATTGCAAGTTTGAAGCCAGCCTCGTCAGCTTAGTAAAACCCTAAGCAACTTAGCGAGACCCTGTCCCAAAAGAAACCATGAAAAGCTCTGGGGATGTGGCTCAGGGTTACCCCCGGGTGGTATCCTCAGAACCACAAAACAAGAAGACGGGTCCCACGCTTCCAGCCAATGCCAGACGTCGAGTCCTGAGACTCACACAACCGAGCCGTGGCACTGAGATCCGTGTCTCTGCCATTCCCAGTCAGTGCTGCCTCGAAGGCAGGACTGGGGACACGGGGAGGCCGAGAGAACCCAGCACACCTCAGCAGCCCTGGCAGCTGACCGCCCTCTGCTCTGAGTAGTGGAAGCACACAGGAGGCCACCCTCATGGCCGCGGGAGGAGAGCCAGGCCTTGGTGGACTCCACCAGGTGGGCAGCAGCTGGGGAAAGGACTTCTCTGGAAGGACTCGAGGTCCCTCTCTCTGGCCCTGTGCTGCTGCTCCCGCTGGGACAAGGAGCTGGTGGCTGCCTGCGGCTGTCAGAGCCTGCATGTGTTTATAAGCTGGGCTGTTGGTTATTTGTTTGTGCCTTTGGCTCCTGCCTCCCAGATCCCATGTGCTTTGCTCTACAGAACACGGCTGTGCAGCCTTGAGCGACGCTGCCTCGCGCTCCCCCTTGGCATGGGAGAACCCGCCAGCCACGCGGCGCACAGGGACACACGCCTGCACCAGGGTCGAGCTGGCGGAGCTGGGCCCTCCTGCCTCACCCCCTCTGCTCACCCACATGGCCCTTGCTTTATACAAAAACCTGTCTCCATAATGTCCATGCTCATATCTGGTTTTGAAGATCAAATCCCTTTACTGACTGAAGCTGCAGGTCCTTCTGCAAAGCCAACCCAGATCAAGTCCTTGGGTAAAATCAAAGTTCTTGTTGTAAGCAAAGAACCAGCTATCAGCTCCCTACGGGAACACAGGTCAGTGGACGGCAGAGCCGGGCTGTCACCCCTTAGAAGTGTCTTTTTCATGAGTTAACAACTTACAGGGTTCTGTCATGTGGGTTCGTAAATGAGCCTATTGGGGTGGCTGGGAGCCCAGCCTGTCCTTGTCTGTCCCCCAAGGACCCTCAGTTTCCTGACCCAGCTGCAGACCTTCCTCTATGCCATGGTGCCAGGTCCCAGGGCTGCCATCTCCCTCCTGCAGGCATGATGGACGTGGCCGGTGGCGGCTGGAGTCAAGGCAGGGCAGGGGCAGTACCTGCTCTTACTTCTGTGATAACAGAATCGATTCTCCTGAGGTCCTCTTACTATGACCTGAAATCGTGTGTGAGAGGGCTCTCGAGTCTTCTCATCATTTTTTCCTAAGAAAGGAAGAAAAATACCAAGATACGTGGCTGCCCGAGCTCCGTCCCTGTGGCCAGAGCTTCCGCTGGACTAATGAAAGGCCTAGAAGCTGGGGTGCTACTCCCTACGCTGATGAGTCTCTGGACAGTCCCCCACCCCCTGCCCAACCTCGGGCAATGTGCTCTGCCGACAGGGTCAGGCCAGGCAGGATACTGGAGAGAGTGGCCAGGGCCACAGGGGTAGTCTCTACTTTTTCGAGGCATAAGGTTCAAAGTGGCCTCTTTGGGACTCAACCAGCCACAACCAACTGGGCTTACCAGCTCAGCCTCCAGCAAAGGACTCCGAGGCAGAGCTGTTCAGTAAACGTCCCTCCAGGACTTCTACGATTACGGTGAGAAGAGGCAGTGTAGCCTAGAGGTTATCTCCTGAACTCTAGCTCTGATAGGCCCGGGCTCAAGTTCTGTTCTGCCAAGTGTCTCAGCTGTGTGACTCTGGGTAAGTTACTTAACCTCTCTGCCTCAGTGTTGTCACTCTATAGAAGAATGATAATGTCACTCCCACCTCTTTGGGTTATTGTAAGAATGGAATAGATAACCTGAATAGCAGTGCCAGGTCATTCATAAGAAAGACAGTATTGCCACTTTTATTTGCATTCTACTAAATAGGGGACAGTATGATTCTATTTAGAGCAAACGCTAACTCCTAGACAACTCAGGCCGGTCCCAACTTCCAGCCCCATTTGTAAAGCTGGGCTTCAGCCCTCCTCAAGGAAGGACCAAGGGAACCAAGGCTCAAGGGGACCCCAGCTGGTCACTCGGGTCTTTTTAAATGCTCTCAGGGTTGCAGGGCTGGGTGTGGGCCCTGCTTGACCCAGACTCAGATCTCAGAATAAGCATCCAAGTTAGAGATGAGTTTCCTTCTGGGGTGCCCCTCCTCCCCCCAGGAGTGGGCTGCCCTCCCTGGGAAGGACCAGAAAAACTTTCGCCAGCGCTCTAGCCCTCTGTCTCTGTTTACTGATGAGCCCAGAGAGGCAAAACTATCTGGCCAAAACACACAGCAAGGCAGCTCCCTCCCAAGACCTCTGCCAGCCACAGAAGCACCAGCACACTTCCCGCTACTTCACGCTGTGGGCGAAGCTGATCTCCCTTTCCCACCTTGCAGCAAGAGCAGCCAGCTGCTGCCAGAGGAGATGTGAATCCAAGTCAGGACTGGATGGGGAGGGCTGGGGAACGGCAGCCGAGCAGCCATCCACCTTCCACGTGGAGCTCAGGGAGCTCAGCCAAGGCTGCCTCTCCCCGTGGGGCTCACGTCTACAGAGGCCTCTGGGCAGGCTGGTGCCCAGTTCTTCCTGAGCCTCTGGGCCATTCCAGAGGCTCAGGAGCTTCCAGGGATCAGACAAATGTCAGAAAATGAAAATACCAGTGTGGACCCTCCACTCACTCCCTTCCCCGGGGGAACCGCAGAGCTTACGGGGACGGGCCCTGGCCTCGCGGGGGGACACACGTCGAAGGCACGCAGGCGGCTGGTTCAGACCCCTCGTTTCTTCTCCTCTTTGACCTTGAGGAAACAGAGGGGTACATCAGCCACAGCGTATGGATGCACAGCTGCCTGCAGTGCCCTGTCCAGGCTCCCGGGTCGGGGACACAGGACCTTGCTGATGCCGTGTGGGCAGCATTAAGATCTTTCTATAACCTCCCCCAGGACAAAGTCAGCCGGAGCACCGGGCAGAGTCAGGCAGGAGAGCTCAGAGAACGTTTAAAACAAGTGGATCCTCTCCATCCTCGCCAGCCAGCCCGGCGTGGGACTGCCAAGGGGTGCTCAGGTCTGCATGGAATCAGCCGCCTCCCTGGGGGAGCAGGCCGTGGACGGGAAGGGAGACGCCCGTCCTGCCTGCTAGGCTGCTTAGCAGCCCCCCCCCCCCCCAGGTATTGTTCCCGGGGCCTCTGGAGTTGCTGGAACCCCGAGGAGTTCAAAGCAAACCCGATGTAGAGGTGAGAGGAGAAGTTCCTGGCTCCCGACCTCTGGGGTGTCTCGAGAGGTTCTGAGACTCCAGCTGAGGCTGCCTGGCAGAATGCCAGCCAGTGGGCACTCTCCCCTGGCAGCTCGCTGGTCATGGCACCACGTCAGCGGGTCCCTGCTGGCAGCCTGGCTCCCCCCGTAGGGCTCCGGGTCCTGGAGCCACGGTTCTGGGAGGAGGGGCTGACGCAGCACCGCCCACCTCTGCAGCACCCTGCACACAATGCGCATGAGCACACACACGCACACAGGCCTGCCGAAGGGGAGGCAGCCGCCCTGTCTGGAGCACGTTGGCCAGGAGCCTTCACAGGAGCAGCAAGCCGTGTCCCAGACAGGGTGTAAGTCTGGGAGGAGGCCAGCGGTGAAAGGATCCCATAGAGGGCTGCAGCGGGCAGCCAGCAGCAGGCACAAGCCCACCCCGGGGACCCAGGAAGCTCAGCAGCCCGGCCCCAGTTGCCCTGAACGGCCTGAAGGAGGCCTCCAGCCGCTCCAGGCCAGCAGCACCCGCTCCCTGGGGGTCTGTCTTCTCGCAGCTGTTTGCAGTTCCTCCAGGAGGCAGAGCGTTCAGACTCCTAGACTCCCTCGCCGGCCTGCAGCCCTATGGGTAAAGAAGAGTGCCCCTGGGTCTCCACCACCAAGAGGTTCAGGGACAGTCAGCACTGCCCCCACAGCCACGTGGAGCCCAGAGCAGAAGCATGGCCCCGGTGGCTCACGCCCACAAACCCACCATCCCCACTGCCTGACCGTGGCGCTCTGGTGCTGAGTGCCAGGACAGTGGTCTCTGGGGGCTCCACCCGGGCTGTGTGCACACATCGGGGAGCCCCACCAGCACCACGGAGGCTGGGCCGCTCCCTTAAATGCTAATAGTGGGTAAGCTTCATTTGCAAATGGTGGCCCATGCAGGCGACGGAATATCACCCAGAAATAAAAAGAAATGAGCCGGGCTGGGGCTGTGTGGCTCAGTGGCAGGAAGCTCGCCTGGCATGTGTGAGGCACTGGGTTCGATTCTCAGCGCCACATATAAATAAATAAAAATAAAGGTCCTCAACAACCAGGAAAAAAAGAGGAAACAAACACATATTGCTCAGGACATTCTAGAAAAATCAAAGCTGGGGACAGTAGGGAGTTCAGTGACTGCCTGGGGTTTTCAGGGCAGAGGGTGTTTGGGGCTGGGAAATTTTCCTGTATGATGCTGTAATGATGGTGGAAAATAACTTCATACATTCATCAGAACCTACAGAGTGTGCAACAGAGAATGAACGCTAATGTCAACTACAGACTCTACTAAAAAATGTATGAAAATTAGCCGGGCGCAGTGGAGCACGCCTGTAATCCCAGCGGCTCAGGAGGCTGAGGCAGGAGGATCACAAGTTTGAGGTCAGCCTCAGCAATGTAGTGAGACTACGTCTCAAAATAAAAAGTAAAAAGACCAAACAAAAGTCACACGCAGCACACCTTTCACTGTGTCTCTGTTAACGGCATTTTCTTATTTTCTTCATTCAGATGTCAGCTACCTACCTGTCTAGCTGATTCCTAGAGATGGAAACCACTCGCCTTCAAACGGACTCACATGCAAACCTTCCAGAGCCCACACCCCAACACCTCTGTTATCAGGCTCACACTGGACCACGGTCCACCGGCCCCCCATCACCCCAGGGCCATGAACAGACCTCCGGAAGCCCGCCACACCCGAAGCCCACTAAAACTACTCAGGCTGGCCAGCTAGGCTTCTCACCTGGCCTCTGCCGTTTCTCCCTTCCCATGGAAGCAGTTAAGACCCCCACCCGGCCGCCCCTGCTCTCACCCTCTGCCTGCCCCCCCTGCATGGGCCTGTGTGGTGAGACCTGGCCACCTCTTGAGCCTCAGCAAGGGCGTCCCCCTCCGTCTGTTGGCCTCCTCACACCTGCATAAGAATCAGACATGCGTGGTAAGCAGGGCCAACCCAGGGCCCAGCACGGGGCGCGGCACTGGGCAGCTTGTCCACCTCGGGTTGTTTTCAGGGCCACAGCAAGAGAAGCAAAGAGAAGTGGGTTCACCACAGACTCAGCCAGATCCGTGCCCTCTGCCTTCCTAGACCACAGGACGGGGGACGAGCCCCTCTCCTTTGTTCCCTGGTGAGTAAACTGAGGCCCAGACAGGGGACACTTTGCCCAAGGCGTCAGGCCAGCGAGTGGAAGCCACAGAAGCCAGCACAGGAGCCCCACTGAGTCCCATGCCCCACCTCCCAGCTGGGCAGAGGGGGTGCAGCCACCCACAGCCACCCATTTTCACCCAAGCTCCCCGAGGCTCGGCCCAGGCCAGGCAGGTCACCTTCCTGCCTGCTCCTCAGGGCTGGGGCTCTCCTTATGGGGTCCTCTAAGCGGGTGAAGAGGCGGTGAAGTTATCAAGAAGTGCTCAGACCGGCAGCGGGAGAAATAAATAAATAACCGCTTAAGTAAACAGCAAGATTGGCAGGAACCATTTTTCGAAAGAAAAGCGCTGGGGGAAAGGCTGTCGAGCGACGGAAGGAAGGAGTAATAAATTCCATGTCACTCTGAAGACGGCGGCTCTCCAAGGCCCTCTGAGCCAATAACCGTGATAAGCTCCGAGGGCCCGGGAGGGACACCCACTCATCTCGCTGCCTCCACAGGTCACATCAAGATAGATGGTGCTGGCCCTGGACCTGGTGGCTTCTCTTCTCCCCCTGGGCACATGTCCCAGGTCCCCAGCTGAGCCCTGTTACCTGTACCCACTTAACTCGGCCCCAACTGGCAGGCGTTTAGAGCGGCCTGTGTCTGGGTGGTGGCAGGGGCCCTGCTCCCAGCACAGTGACACCCAGAGGAATGAGCTTCCCCCAGTGTCCTGGGAAGAAGGAGAAAGTGGCCCATGAAAGGGACTCCCCTGCCACGTCCCCCTCCCAGCAGCTTGGTGGTGCGCCCTTGCCCCACCCCCGCTCTTCCAACTTAGGGTGAAGGGTGATGTCTCCTCGAGATCCAGGGGACCCTGTCTACTCTGCAGAGGCCCCGGAATCTGGAAAGCTCTGCAGAACAAGTGCAAGGTGGGAACTCAAATGCGAATTCCCAGGCCCAGCCTGGGGCAGGAGGCTGGCGGGCAGGTCCCAACACCACAGGACAAGCCATCCCAACTCTGTCATCCCCACCCTGAGGCTGACCTGCTGCGTGAACCCAGCCCCTCCGCCCTCCTCAGCACAGGTCTGCGCCCTGTAACGTAGGGGGTTCTAGTTCTGGCCAGCCCTGCCTGGTGAGGGTATAGGGAAATCACACTCACAGGCCGCCAGCCCTGAACGAATGCAAGATCGGATGCGGCTTCTCACGCACAACCATTCCTGTGTGGGCCTAGGGCCGGCCCTGCCCAGCAAATGCATGCAGCCCTGACCATGTGCTGGCAGCGGGACTCCCAGCCTCCCCCACCACACTGCAGGCTGAGCCCTCCCTTGTCTCCCCACTTCTGAGCCCCCTGCTGCAGCTGAGGGGGTCAAGATGATCCCAGCCGACCTCTGCTGAATGTGCTGCACACACCAGCACCTTGCATTCCCCCAGTAACCCCGAGCTTCGGAGGAGAAAACTGAGGTTCAGAGAAGATGAGAAATAGGCCACAGTCAGGGTGAGCAAGTGGCAGGGCTGGGTGTCACCCTCATGTGTGCCTGGGGGCCACCGTGCCAGCTCTTAGGCATTTGCTCTCCACCTTTGTGATTTCAGTCAGAGCCACATCCCGTTCGGACAATTACGTATGTGTGATACTGTTCAGAGGTGTATCACGTACAGTCGTTGATTCAGTGATCGTGTACCCAGGACCTGACATCATGCAGGCACCATCGGAGGGCCTGGAGATTCAGAGTAAACCAGACAGAGACGCCTGCCCCCGGGAGGCCAGCCCTCTGGACAGTGTCGTCTGTTTTCTAAATAGGTTTGCATCTGCCCGTTTCCTAAAGTAACATGAATTCTTTTGTCTTTTTTTCCCTTCTCTTCCTTTTTGGTACTGGGGATTGAACCCCTGAGCCACATCAAAAGCCTTTTTTTTTTTTTTTTAATTGTTTTGTTTTAGACAGGATCTCACTCAATTGCTGGGGCTGTTCTCAAACTTGCGATGCCTCCGCCTCCTGAGTTGCTGGGATCACCAGCACGCACCACCACGTCTGGCTACAGTAACGCTTATTTTTAAAAAAATATTGTGCTGCTCCTACAGATGAAAATCCAGCATGGACTTCGTGGGGCCGTTAGAAATCAAGAGTTCTGCAAACTTCTTCTGAACGCTCTCTCCAATGAAGGTCTGAATCCTGACGAGCTCTCGCTTGATTAGAACAGGAGAGATCCATTCCCCAAAA